AGAAAGACACTATAGAGTGCCATTTTTTGTCGTGCTACAGGCATGAGAAATACAAGAGGGCAAAGAACAAACGAACCACGAACAAATCCAAACTGATAATACGAATTTATGTCTGTGTTGGCTAAATATGGACTTACTAAAAATATCGTACACTCCATTGCACCAAGACTCTGATAGTGTTTTTTTTTAATTTTCGTAATGTGTGATTGAGATATAATTTGAAATTTATTAGTTAAAGAGTTTAAGACATTAAAAGTACAATGAATTCAAAAAAATTTATATTTGGTGTTTTGTTTTTGTTCCAAGTGTTTCATTCCTCTTTTAGTCATATACCAGTAAAACATATCAACACACAATCATAATAATTCAGTTATTTTTTATTTTATTAGTGATTACTAATATATTCATAAGAAATAATTTAAATGGCAAAACACTATTTACCCGGGTAAGGTAGTATTATACTACTATAATAGGTATTATAGGTATATATATAAAAATAGATTCCTGTCTGTTTGTCCTTTATGCATTCCGATTTCAATTGCTGGACCGCGATCGTGACAAAATTTGGTACAGAGATCTATTCGACTTTAGACCTATGAGCAGATGATAGGCTAAGTTAAAAGTGATTGACACAAATATCATTTAATTGAATATTTGAATTGTCAGAATTTTMTCGATAAAACGAATAAAATTACATAATGATAAACTTAATTGAATATTGTTGTAAGATTATTACTTAGTATATTTTAACCATTATCTATCTACATTCTACATGTATAAAAAAAAATATATATATAGGTATACCTACATATTATTATAAATGTGCTATATTGTGGCACACCTATACGTAGATAATATTACATTTTGGATGACCATGAAAATCGTCATCTTGCGGCTTTAGTTGCTGCGTACCAGTTAGCTAGGTATGATGGTAGCTGCAGCACAATACCAATAGCAGCGGACAGCGACATGATTGCGATGACTGTCGAAAATAGCTATCATCGTGTATGCGTACGTGCGATTGTGTTTGTGTACGTTTATAAGCCGCGGACAATGACTTATAGCGATCACTTTTGCATGTGCGAACGTTATGTATGTAATATAAAATATCGACTGTAGTATGACGTGGCGATGATGCCGTGAAACTGCAGTGTCGACTGTCGAGTCAGTGAACACGATATTTTTTTTTGTAAAATTGACCGCAGGACATGGGGTACTCGACGATAATAATAATATTAATGTAGTTAACGTAATAAAAATACGTAACAGCTCGTTTTGTATAGTAAAATACAATGTCGTCAAACGATACGATCATTCATTTGTAATTCTATTATTATTATTTTATGTGTAGCCATGTACAGGTGCCTATCATAAGATATGAGTATATGACTATCTGTAAGAAATAATGTAACGTTATAATATATATTATGCATGCACTTGATTTCTTTCTCCTTATAATTATCATCGATCCAATGCTGTGCACGATTAAACTGAACAATGTATTTTTTGACAGTGCGTATATTTAGTTACCGTCATATAAATGTCTTATAATAATATTGTATATTTGTAAAAAAAAATAAAAATAAATAAACTGTTTGCCGCAGTGCACGGGTTGAGTGCGATTAACACTAATAATACAACTACCAAGATGGCTAGATATAAATTATAAACAGTTATAAAAAAATATATCCAAAACGTTTAACGTTAATTATGTTTCATTCACGTACGGCTGTTTAAGTCTCTGTCAGATGCAACGCATATTATTTTCCTTACCCCGTTATGATTTTTTGGCGTGTCTGTATGCCTATATAGTATAATATCCATGTTTTAGGTATGGCTATCTCATATTCACATATAGAGATAGTTACTACTATACTATTTAATATTATACATATTTATATGTATACCTATATATACATTAATRTACTTCAAAGCAATATTATCTAATGTATATACTATATAGGTACCTATATCATATATATATAATTATCTTTCTGACATTTATTTTCTCTTTATAACCGTATAATAGCATAACACATCTTGCCAACAGGTCAAGTTCATTAAATCATCGCGCRTACAYCGCCGAGTTGAAGAATTCGGCTTTATAGTTTAAAATATTATACCTACGTTAGAAATTAGGCCCTAATGATTAGGGGGTATCAATCTATCAAAAGTATAAACTATAAAACCAATACCATATATAAAATACAATTTTTTTATTATACCCATCACTATATCAATCCATACATAATTATCAATGACTGCAGGTTATTTGAAGAGCCCACCATTGTGTAATTGCACATTCTTATAAAATACACGAACGTTTAATTAATTCTTCCACGGGTACATTATTTGTTATAACTATTATTATCATATTCATACGAATAATTAGCTGTTATAATTCAAACTTTATTATGACGTATATTGTATTAAAGTACAATCATCTATAAAGTTGTAAGCAGCGTGAAAAACATATTATATAATAATTATTAACGATATTAAATTAAACTAAAATTATAAACTGTTTAAATGTACAATTTTAAATGTGGTCAAGTCTTTAATTCAATCAAATTAATATTTGATTTTAATAAGAAGAAGAATTATATTTCATAAGACGATATATTATTCTGACTTTTTAAACATAGTAAAATAAATATAATAAATAATAATATATATTGTATATGACTGTAGAGTACTGCAGTATAAATTACTCATGTATAAACTTAGATATTTCTATAATAGGCAATAGACAATTACGGGCATACCTACTATTCAGAAAAAGAATTTCACTATAAGAAAGTACAAAGCCGTGAACGGTTTTAACGATTAAACACATTTTTACAAGCGTATTAAAGTAAATATAAATATAATATTTTAGTTTCACGCTATAATAATCAATATCTTATATGTAGATATGTTAATAAAATAGATTTGGTTAAATAGTGGTTAGAATTATTTTCAACTTATTAACAGTTTCTAAATTGTTTTATATTATAACTCAGTATATACCATTAAGGATTATGACTGACCCTCTAAAATWTCAATGCCCAATTAATACCCATACTAACACGTACAATTCACATTAGAAATTATTTTTATCATATAAAACAGAGGTCATGATGCCATGGACAAATTTAATCTGACCCGCAGAGAAGAAATTATTTTTTTAATTTAATTTTGTATGGTGGACTAAATTATATTTTCAATTTATTTTTTTACCTTTCTTTTACTTGCTTTGGTTTATCATGTAGGTACATTGAATTTTTAAGACCATCAAAAACTTAATGTAGGATTCTTGAGGCCCTTCAAAAATATTAATAAYTGTCTACTATTATAGAAGATTTGAATAACATACTCGTATTTTTTTAAATTAAAATAAAATAGGAAAATAATACAATTCAATGAAATGATAGATAYGTATTTTATTTTTATACTCTATAATATGCCGATATACTTTCTGTATACCTTCAATCAAAATGTATATTATCAAAAATAGTAACACATTAATCAATATAAATTATCGTTTAATAATTAGTCATGCATATACGAACATCCGATTACTGTAGAACATTTTATAAAAACGGTATATTGTATATTATATATATATATATAATCACATAAATAATACTTTATTATGTCAACACAGAATTTATTAGAATAACTTTTTATTTAGTTATAACTTATAATTAATTTTTATAAGGTAAAAGTGATATTGCACATTTTATCTTGTTATTAGTTATTAATTATTAAAGTACAATATTTAATAAAAAATAGTTTTAATGAATTTTGAAAAATGCCGCTTTCACAATCCACGAACCATAAAAGTTATTATAAATCACTGATTAGTAATAATCAGTAAAAATATGAGAATATATCTTAAAAATCGAAAGTAACGTTTTATAACTTAAACATAGGATGTTCGTAAAAAAAATTTTTTTCCTATTAGGTACTATGATGTAAATTACAAAATATATTTTCATTTTTCATACTACAATAGGTACGTATATTATATTATATGTTTTTTTTTTATTGTATATTGAATACATATGACATTTTGAAAATAATGACTCTTAGATTTTGGCTGTGCATTCGTTTAAATAATCCCACGGCCAAATAAAACATATTTTATCTTGAGGGTTAGGCGAGACATGTGTTAGACTCGACACAATAGTTTTTTTTTAAATCCCTGTGTAGGAGGGGATCCTTTATCTGACAAAAATATAATAACAGAAATGTACAGGTGTTTATAAGAAATAAGAATTATAAGCAATATTTATTTCTCTTTATAGAAATATGTATTTTACCAGAGACTTTAGCTATGACTATAATACGATAGTATGCTTACAACAAATTAATATACACCTTATTAATGTACTTATTACAATTTATATTTCTCTTTGGTGTTCAACTAAAAAAAACACACGGACAATATTTTTCGAAAAAAAATACGATAGACCCAAATATAATATGATAATATAAGTAGTCATAATGTACCGTGTAATTAGATACTATAACTTTGGTGCCGTTGACCTATATTTATGCACAAAAGACTATTATCCACGGTTAGATTGACTTCAAATCTCAAATGTACACAATGAAATGTTACAATTCTATGCAACTATATAAAGATACCTATTACCTATTAATACTATCCGTGTCCTACCACATACAGATTATCAAGTGAGATACATAGGTTCACATATCGATACCTATGTAGTTAACTAGAATGTGCACATTGAAATATATAATAGTAATAAAAATAAACTAATAACAATCCAAATACTTRATAAGTAATATAATATAATCACAAAACTATCTAACAATACGTAGGTATATAAATAATTCATCTAACATCATTCGTTAATTCAAATGTCAAAACGATATGATATTTTTAAATATTATTTAAGTATTTTATTCAAATTATTTCGATATAAATTACAAATATTTATTATTAAATTAAAAAAATCCAAGATCTAAAGGAAAAAAAATTTTTTTCTTACCTTTGTTTTTCTTAAGTGAGACTGTTAATCCGTCAAAACACCATATTACTATAGAAAAATATTAACACTTTCACTATACCGACGTACACTTAACTAGAATATTTCACAAAACTTTATAAACTGAAAAATACTAAATAAGCACTAGCAAATAGTAAATTGAAATAATAAAAATGTGTGTAGGTAATGGTTAGTATAAGCGATACTGGTATTGCGACACCTTTACTCGGAGCCGTCCAACCGACACGGGTTATTGTACTTAACTACCTAGAAAGAAGAAACCTGTTGGCCAAGACAGGCAGGTGCGCCCCTACCACTACAACGCGCAGGTAAAACGGACAAATTGTGGCAAGTGTTCCTTCCTAAATAACGAAAATCATGTTGATAATAATAATAATAATGATATTGATATACATCAGAATTAAAGGTAAAATACTAAAGATAACTAAATTTTGTAAATACATTTGTAAATACATTTGTAATTTATTTTTATTTTTATATACTCGTAACTATTTAGGTTGGCGATCACTCTGTTTTATTTATGATAAATTGAATAATTTAGATACATTTATATGATATTATTATTGTTAAACTTTTCATTTTATCTTTTATTATAACATATTATTATACTAATCATAATAATAAATAATATATCTTTATGCTAATAACCACAAGATGTTGAAGCCTTTATTGCTTTTATYTTATAATAATAATTTTTAAAAAGTAGCATGTAATAAAGAGCACAATATACAGTAAGTAAACGCTTAGAACACTCAATAAATTTACGTAGAGTCCTACGATTTGAATTCTGTTTATTGGTCKGTTTTTATGACATAAAAATACACATTTTTATAGCCTTTGAATTTTTTTTAACTTAATTAGACATGCGCATACGCAGTATAATTTTTTTCTTGCGCACGTCTGATTTTGTAAAAAAAATGCAAAGGCTATAAAATTGTGTATTTTTTTTTCATAACAACCGACTAAAAAACAGAATTCAAATCATAGGACTCTACGTAAATTTATTGAGTGTTTTCAGTTATAGCGTTTATACACTGTATAATTATCCTCTAGMAATTGATTAACAAATGCAGTTAAAACATAATATTCGCATAATGCACACATTTTATAAAAAAACATATCTATTACTATATTAGAACGGGTACTGCATATATTGCATGCATATTATAAACTATGTATAGATAAACTATGTACAATGTATAATATGTAAATATGTATTTTTGTCTGAAACTTTAATGCAATATAAACGTGTATACAAAATACAAACTTCCTTTAATCAATATACATATTATTTAATACTACAAAATCAACTTTTATAATAACCATCATAATCGTATAATAACTGCTTATTCTGAAACTCTGATTATATTAGGTATACATGTTAAAATTTACTTGAATATTCTCTCTTCATATTTTTACTGAAATAGTCTTGAAATTTTGATTTAAAATGTTCTGAAAGTTGATATATTGCAGAATTGCTATGAAATACATAAACTATACAAAATATAATATAACATGTGATTATAATATACTACTAAAAAGATGAATTATTTGATTGAGTGCGTCCTTAGGCAGGTAGCTAGGTTGTATGTTTCTATTTATATATAACAAATTAATATTATAGYGMGCTTATAAATTTGTTTTAAAGCTTTTGGAAACTCTATCTTAGAGAAATAAAAATTCAATAAAGCTTTTGTTGTTGTTTCATTGTTGAGATTCATGACGAAGTGATTACTATGACGTGTTTTTATTTTAGTGTTTATCCTCAATCATCAATAGTGAATAGTGTATAGAAACTAGTTTGACCAACTATAAGGAAGATCAAATGTAAAGAACTCCMGGTAAACTTCAAGAAAATAGAAAATTGTACACAAAACTAGCTTAGGTCAGACTCTGTAATATTTATTTAATGTATCGATTAAAAGTATAAACTTGAATCTTTTACCAAATATCTATGATAACATTTTATAGAAACGATATTATTTTAAAGATATTATGGCTTTTTTATGCTAATTATTGACATCAAATATTTTCAATTTTYATATGAAAAAATCTCTGTTTGAGAGTAAAAAAGCATGAATTATCATAATAAAAAAACTTCTCAGGGAAAATATAAAAGTGTGGGTTCGGTTATAAAGATGATATTATATTCATCATTATGTTAAATTATTTGATACTAGCAATAATTATAATAAWTTATAACGAAAATCGCAGTTTCATTAATCCCGGGATTCTTAAGTAATCGAAATTTTAGATTTTCAATAGTCCATAATCATAACACGCTCGAGGGTTTCAAATATGTGATCAGTTTATTTTTATAATAGGTACTATATATTTATGTATTTAAATAAACTATAGAATTTCTAAAACATAAACTATAATATGTTTTTAGTAATAAGTATAATAAATTAACTCTATTGAGTTATGTTTAATGATAAAATAAAATTTAAGTTTTTGTAGTAAGTAAAATTAATCAATTTAAATAAMATAATACTTAGAAGGCAATGAAACATATTATTTTGATTTTTAAAATAATAAAATTCTTATCATGTTACAAATTATAATAATAATAAATTAATAATGAGGAATAACTAATAAGTGTAAGGATAATATATTATATTATCTTTTATAATTAACTGTAATTTTCAAAAGTATACCTATTTACAATTTTTACCTTGAATTAGAAGTAATTAAAATTTTAGGCACCTACTTATATGTAAATTAAAAAACAATTCATAAATGTATTTTTTRTGTAATCTCAAGTTTCACACAAATTTTTTCAAACTTATTGATATTACGAAGAGACTTGATGACTCATAAAATTTTAATAATCCCACGTATTTAGACCTACCTATCTTTATTATTATGAGTAACATGTTTTATAATGTATAAAAATAACATACGAAATTAATCACTAACAATTGATGAGGTACATTTACAGGATAATAAAATTTGTGCCTTTTAACTGATAGCACTTACTATTATCTTGAAAAGTGTAAACTTTTAAAATTTCGTACTACTGTACTCGTTAAAGTTATAATTATCAGTTATATAAACATGCATTTTTATTTTAGATCATGCGTTTTAGTCATATACGGCATCTTATACAGTTGAATCTAACCACAATATATTCTTTAAGGGCTTATATATATGGACCATATTATGGTTATATGCGTTTTCGATGTTAAAGTCACACAATTATTGATAGTATATTCATAGATGTTATTTTTTTATACACTAAAAATATATTTAGCTTAATATATAACTATAGGAGTTGTAACTTGTATTCTAAGATTTAGTGTTCTAATGTCTCATAAATTATAAATAATCTACTTATTACGCCCCTAATYATATTATAAATAAAATTATTATACTTATATTTGCATTATAGGTACTTATACATAAATTATTATGAACTTTAATCAATAGGTATGAGGTATTTCGTAGTTTTTCAAAAATCATAAATAATTTTGCTGTTAAAATTTTGATTATTTTATAAATTAGAAAAGTATTAAAGCATATAATAATTGTAGGCAAAGAATAATAAAATTATTCAGCTAAGAAAGTATTTTAATGTTTAACAAATAATAAATCATGTAAAAATCAATATGACTTAAGATTAAATTAAAAGTTTATTAGAGTTTTGACTGTATAGTATAAGTATAATTATTCAAATTTATCCCAACACACAAATTCTTAGAATATCTATACTTAAGAACTATAACTATGTATTCATTTATCTTTTTTCATTGGGGAAACTTCATTTTAATATATTACTCATAAATTGTTATATTATACTTGCTGATGAATTATGGGTTATGTTATATATGATTTGAGATAAAATATAACATACTTATTAATGCATTTATACTGTATTGGTTTATATAATATATCACTGTATAGGTGAATATTTTGTTAAGTTTTTCGAAATTCAACATTGCTCAATTCCCCACAGTATTCGCCTATGCATGTATTARGTGTAATTTGTTTGATAACATAATATTATTTAAATAGTTTTTTAACTGCTCTGCAGCTATTCAATAACATGTTTTATTTTTATGACGATTAATGTTCGGTATTATTAAATCATTACATCCGGTTTACGAGCCAGGTCAAATAATTTTATCGTATTGTAATTATTAAATACAAATCAATTAATACTTATAACTAACATAAATGGGGCTATACGTTAATTGTTTTTTCGACTTTTAAGAACGATCTAGAAATCCTTTCTATCGTTATCCATGAAAAGATTGGAAAATACTAAATTTATTATTTTACTTAATCGATTTGAATTTTCAAACTATATCGATAACCCTAGCTATATTATCTTGTCTCAGTTGTCTCGATTCCAAATAATATTTAAGTTATAATCATATGGGAAAATATTACTACAATATTAACCAACTATTAACTGCAAGTCAGAATTATTCGGCGCGGTGTATAATGGTTTGAAATCAGACGATATAAAAATGAGGGAAAACAAATACCAATACTATATTATAAAGCCACCCAAACATTTCTGTGTCCTTGACAATGGTGACTAATCAAGATGGTATTGGGGGTGGAGTAGGTGKGGAAATCAGCATGACGTTGGACTGCAAAGACGGTGTATACATTGACTTTCACCAGATGCAAAAAAAATGCTTCTATGACGAACTCGGAGGTCTGTATTTTTTCACCACCTTCATTTTGTCGAGACTGAGTAATCCGGTATTGATTTTCACTTCCTGTTATAAACATACAGTCGTTGCTGTCGGTCTGACGACTATTTGATTTGAAACAGCATCCGTCATACATAAAAAAAACTCATCAGGTTTCAACTTATTTTCATCGAAAGATGACACTTCCATTTACAGATTACTACTTAAGTGTAGCCATGCAAGGGTGGTTTTTGTTGGTTATTTTCTTGAAGGAGGGTGCGGCGTCATAATAACACATTTTATGCTTGGTGTTTTTTTCTTGAAAAGTGGTTCCCGCGTGCACCGTTTGTATTATATTTATGTCTGGAATGTGGTGTGGGATTCAAGGTCGACTACAAACCTTTTGGCCCCATAGGTACACACATAATATATACAGACATTAAGACCTCGTTTCGTACAGGCAAACTTGACGAGTTGCCGCTGGTGGTGTACAAGTGTAAGAAAAATATAAATATATACCAGCATCACTAACTTAGATACCATGACTGTCATGATGACTTTTCTCTCTATACATAAGTAT